TTACCACTTTAATTAATACCATTAAACATTTTGTAGTAACATTCCAATGTAGAACCTTGTTTAGATCTGTTATAGTGAAAGGCTGAATTCCTTTCAACTTAATTCCCAGGGTAGTAGTTGTTCTCTGTACGAATTCATTGAAATAGACTACTACAGCGAGTAAATTTGCTAGTCCAATATTACAGCCATCTGATAACCAATGGTGGACTTTCTGACTACTGTCTGGTTTAAAAATACCATGGACAAACAGAAACCCCTTGACACTTTTTTCTAAGAGACATTTTCTTTATTGTCATATACCCTGAAGGAAGAGCTCACTGGTACTAGCTGCGCCAACAGACAGAAATCCTACTTGCTTTCTTTAATTGACAACTGGGTAGCACTAACAAGTCCTTGATGTTTCTTGCCCAAGCAGCTGGGGGGTGGGGGAGGTCTTCATATTTAACTAACTTTACTCAACAGAAGTTTCATCCCACTGACATACCCAGTTCAAATTAAATTGTTTATACTTGCAAAAGAAAAAAATGTCAAGATAGCTTTTATTGTATGCAAAAAGGATTTAATTTATTGTACTTTGAAAAAACATTGCACCCTTTACAGAAAACGTATACACTGAGATTTTGAACCTGTTCAAAGAAAGGGCACTTGTATTGACAAACACTAACCGGCATCAAAGTTTCATCAAATACATCTGCCGATGTAAAAGTCTAGCTATTTTTAACTTTATCAATTAGGACTGGGTTTGACTGCACACAAAAGAAACTGAGTGTGCCATTGTAGGTTCATCCTGAGCTGAAAAAAATAAAGTACCATGCTGGTGAGTGATGTAGATAATAGGGAAGCTGTATATGTGTTGAGGCTGAGTGTATATGGGCAATCTCTGTATCTTCCTTTTAATTTTGTTTTAAATATCTTGCTGCTCTAAAATAAATAAAGTCTCAAAAAGTGAAAAAAAAAACTTAAAATAATATTTTTAAACCAAGGTAAAAGTTTATTTTTCTCTTATGTAAAACAAGTCCAGACATAGCCTAGATTTGGAAAGATGGTTTCACAAATGACACAGACTCCTTCCTTTAGCTGCTTTCCCTGCTTAGCACATGGCCTCCATGCTCAGGGTTACCTCATGGACTAAAATAGGTTCTGGTGTTCCATTCATCACATCCAAATTCCAGTAGGAAGGAAGGAAGAAAGTGGAAAAAAACCCAAGTGCCAGTTGCTGAGCTAAGTTGGCATCTTTTAAGCAGCCTTCCCAGAAGTCCTTTGTAACATTTATACTTACGTATCCTTGGCTAGAATTTAACCATATGACTATACTTAACTGCACAGAAGTCTAGGAAATGGATTCTTTTCTCTGACCACATATTAATGTCCAGAATAAAATCAAAATTCTATTACTAGAAAAAGAGAGATTGGGTGACAATTTACGGTTTGTATCACATCCACTCTGTTATATGTGATGATTTTGTGGGAAATGTCATGCAGTCATTAAAAATAATGAATGAGAACTATGCCAATTGACTTGGGGTGTGTGGTGGTAGGGGGGGAGGATTTCCACAAGGGTTGCTGGGTGAGAAAAGCAAAATGTATAAAAGTGATAAAATATGATTCCATTTTTGAATACCTAAAGGGGCAAAAATCCCTATGTATAGGTATACAAGTGAGATGTAAGTTTATGAAAATGGGAAATTGCTAAAGGATACACAGTAGGTTGTTAATGTTTTCTCTGGGAAAGGGGAGAAGGGATGAATACCTTTGTGTTGTTTCATTGTTTCACTTATTATGATAGGAATTTTTATAATTTGAAAAATATAAAAATGTTTTAAAAAGTGGAGCAGCCTCAGATCCAATCTTCAAAACACTGCCTGCCACATATGGAAATTCACAGTAAGCAAGTCCTGGGTGGAGTCTGTCATAGAGGATCCTAGTGAAGGACTTAGTAGGTCCTCAGTACAGTTTACCTAAGTTGTTCTAAATGATTTATTTAGGGAAATTATTTACTTAGAACACGTGTTAGCTATATAATGTTAGAAAGAACATTGTATCCTTTTTGCTAATGGGTGTTCACCAATGTTTATAAATATTTAAATATGAGTATTTAGTATAAGGTATAAGGTACAATAATATCACAATGGATCTTTGTGAATTATCTGGAATACTAACATTTATAAAATTAAACAAAATAACCTTTATGAATTGTATTTAATATTTACCTATTTAATTCCATTTAGGCCATGAATCTTTCATGAAAAAGTCTTGTTGGGGAATTAGGCACACCTTGCAAGAATAAATCATTCTGTCAGCTTGGCTTCCTCAAAATTTCATGGAGAAAAAACTTCAAAATCATGTACAACAAATCATATTATAAATTATATTTGAGCCAGACATAATAAAGAATATGAAGAGCATGAAAAAATAAAGAAAAATAAATTAATTCCCTACCTACCTGAGCTGAATGTCTATTTGGCATGGAAAATGTCCAGTGTAGTGACCTAAGAAAAAAGCTAGCAGCTAGGAAAGCTGAGACATTATTGTTCCAGTACTATAAGGTCAAAATTATTTTCAATGGCTATTTAACAAGTGATATCATAATAATTTTGAAAGTAAAATTTCAGATTTAAATTTATATCTAAATAGTTCAACCAATAATGGCAATATTTGTCTTTTGCCTTGGTTGTGGCCAAATATTGATTTTCTAATACTAGGTCATTGACCATCAGACCAAAAAGTATTCATTGGAAAATGTCCTATTGGATAAACAGTGATGCTTGATTGCAAATCTCAGGAACATTAATATGCATAATAACAACTTTGGAAGATTGTAATAAATGTCACTTCCTTTCTGAATAGTATCCCTATCTCTCAATACATGTTCTGAGCCAGAAATGGGCATTTTAAATAAGCAACAGGGGCTTTTTCTGTATGTTCCAGGATCATGTTTTGAGAAATATTGCTGTAACAGAAAGCTCTGTTTTAAACTTGGTAATCACCGTCATAGACTGCCTTTATGTTTGTGAAATAAAGATCTGGTATGCAAATGGCACTGTCATATACACAGAGCTTAGAAAATAATTATGCTGTAGTTTAATACTTTAAAAACAACAACAACTAGAATAGGACTCAAAGCTCTAGTCCTGCACCATATGTTTCTCACTGATTAAGCTTAAATATCAAACCAGTTATTTTAAGCCACTTATTTCACCAAGTAAAAAGATGGCTTTATTCAGAAACAGAAGACAAGTGCAATACCAGACAAGGGAGCTAGCAACACCATAGGCAAACCTGGGGGACAAAGAAGAGGTACTGCTCTTTTATAGAGGTAATGGCAGGGGGGTTTGGAAAGACTGGTACAAACAGAAAGTCCGTTGGAGTAAACTGAGAGCTTGTAGGGGCTTCTCATTGGCCAAGTTGTGACCATCTCTCATTGGCTGGGCTGTTGGTGGGGCGTTGAATAAGGAAAGCCTTTCTTCCTCCTGCTGGAGTAGTAATGTAATATCTACCAACAAGGTCTGTCTCTTCCTGTTGGGCCTGTTACTGAATAAAAGTAGTGGGGTGTGAGATTCTCTCTGCCCAACTTTCCAACTCCATTATAGTGAGGTTCCCCTTTATCATCACAAGTGAAATATGACCAATGAAATGGAGCTGGTAGATCAATCTGGGTATCTTATTATTATTATTTTTAATGTTTTAACTGATTTGTAAGACGAGGTTGGTACAATTTCTCTGTGGTGGGAGTATAGCTGGGATGGGCAGTTGGCATGCAGGAATAAAGAAGAATAAAACTGGAAAGCAGTGAGCAATTATACTCAAGAACCATGAATCCAATCCCATTAATAATACCTTATAGCTTCCAGTTTCTAAATTTATTTTCAGTGAAATAAAAGCACCTAAGTGATGATGTGCTGGGAATCAGGATATGGGAACCATTATAGAATATCTTAGTTCCAATTCCATAAACCTGTATCTTCAAATAAAACCCCAAATGCAAATCTCAATAACTTTGTAAATCACTTTTTTTTTGTATTAGCTCTTTCTCTCCATTGTTAGCCAAAGCTAGATATGGGACAGGTTCCAGGCCAGGACAAAAATGCAGCATTTTATCCTCCCCATGCTATGATCATCTTGCTCTGAAATTAAGCGGACCCTTGGCAATTAATTACCTGTTGGGGGAAAATTTTTCTGATTAACTCTTCATTAATTGAGTTAACCAAGTAACTTGAAAACTTTTGGTCTTTTCCCCTTTTTGCTACTAGTCCAGTACCTACCTAGTCTTCGTATCTCAGACACCATAAACATAGAAAGGGTTCTTGAAAAGTCAGGTCCTGACAACCACTTTGACAGTGCGGAATTGAAGCCAGTTTTTTTGAATTGTTGCTCAAAGTGAAATTGGCTTGGGTTAGTGGTAAAACTAGGACTCAAGTTTCGGGATTCTGACACATAAAAAATGAAGCTCTTGGGCGTTTTTTTCCAAAACACCCCTTGTAAGTGATTTAGAATGGTCTTAAGGGGCGGAGGAGATGCAAAATGGTGCCATCTTCTGCCCTAAGTTTGGCACTCAGTAACAGCAGTTCTTATGGAGGGTGGGTAGCAAGAACATTTGAACCACAGGCAGCCCTTAACTTCAGTCCTGGTTCCAGTGATAGTTGTAACACTGAAGACCCACGTGCCCTTTGCAAAGGCGCTTAATTTCTTTGAGGGAAGGCAACTAGGACAGACATGCTCAGAGTTGTCCAATTACTCTGATCCCTTTCCTTCCCCCACTTGGGAATCGTAAACATTAAAGGGAATAGTATATGGTAAATTAGTTAGAATAATGTCTGTAGCGTATTAAGGTTCAATATTCTCGTTGATTATCATTATACTGCCAGGCACAAGCACCGCCCCCAAGGCGCGCACCTTAAAGCGCGCGCTCGTCGGGGCGTGCCGTCACCGGGACTGCCCGGCAGCTGGGGGCGTTTGCTTCCGGGGGCAAAGGCACTTTACTTCCGGCAGGAGCAGGCGGTGGGGTAGACGGCCGCTACTACCCACTGTGTTGGTCCGTTTAAGTCAGGCATGAAGATCACGAGGCAGAAACATGCCAAGAAGCATCTCGGCTTCTTCCGCAATAATTTCGGAGTTCGCGAGCCGTACCAGATCCTGCTGGACGGTACCTTCTGTCAGGCGGCGCTGCGCGGCCGTATCCAGCTGCGGGAGCAGTTGCCCCGCTACCTCATGGGGGAGACACAGCTGTGCACCACCAGGTGGGCCAGGCGGGACTGGAGACGAGGTCCGGGGCGGAGGCCCGGGGACCCTGCGGGCGTGGTGGAGGCGAGGCCGCGGCGTACAGAACGCCCCACCCGGGAGGAATTGACAGTGGAGTGGGGGCGCTGAGGAGGTCAGGCGGGCGTCTGCGGCGTAGGTAGAAAGTACAGTGCCCTGCGGCTCTTCCCCGTCGTTGGCCTGGCAGATGAGTCCATGCTTTCTAGTGCGACCCGGCTTCGAATCTAGGTCCCAGTCCTACCCGCTTTGTGATCTCCTGCGAGTGCATCTCCGAGCCTTGGATTTCTCATCTGTAAGGCAGAGACCGTACCTCAAAAGGTTGCCGGAAGGATCAAACGAGGTATCGTGTATGTAGAGCCCTCGCTGGTATCCAAAACCTGCCCCTGTTAAATGGTTGCTCCTATTGGCCTCGCTTTTTCTAGTGTGAACGATCATTTTTCAAGCCTCACAACTGCTGTGTGAGCGCACGTCTTCGATTCCCAGAAAGAGCATTCAGAACTCGAGGTTAAGACCTCTGCCCATGCTCGTTTGTTTATTCGGCTGTCTTTATTAAGCACCAGCTGTATGCCGGGCAGTGCTCTAGCCACTGAGGATAACTTGGTGACCAGGACAAACGTCCAGCCCTCATGGGCCAGTGAAGTGCATCCGTCAGCCTCCATGGGTGTGTTTTGACTCCAGTGTGTTGTGACTCCCTCGGTATGAGAACTCTTAAGATGGGGCCTCCTGGACATAGGAGGGAGGATGGGATCATGGAAGGTTTCATAAAGGAGATAACTTTTGAGCTTCTCTTAAACTTTTGAGTTTTCTTAAAGACTAAAGGGAGCGAGGCAAGGTAGAGTCTGACAGGGGCTGGCTGGAGCTTAAGAATTTTTTGACTCAGTATTTATAATTTTTTATTTCTCCTTTTCTTCCACCCTCCCTCTCTCTTTCTCTCCTTTTCTTTTCATCTTTCGGTTCTGAGGGGAGGGCTATTTTGAGTGACAGAAAAGATAGAAGTGACTTGTGGAGGCCTCTTGAATAAAGAAATGGAGCTGTCAAATGCCTGGAAAGGAGGTTAGAGCACAGAATGTAGTTGGAAGTGAAGCTGGGAAGAAGGTAAAAACTTAACAGCATGAACTACTAAGAAACTTAGGGGTTCCCGTTTCCATAGTAGCTTATTTACTTTAAAAAAATAGAAAAAGAAATTAAAATGACCCATAATACCACACCAACGAATTACCACTGTCAACGTGCTGTATCGTCCATCCGGTTCTTTATATATACACATGCACACACACACAAACACAGGAATGGGCTCTTATGGGCGCACAGTATCATTGCCCTGCTTGTCTCACGATAGTGTTGCTCCGTGAAGAGCTTTCCATATTCAAGTAGCACCTCAAAATCATTGTTTTTTATCCCATGGTTTTTTATCCCCTTAGCCTTTAGGGCTGCCGGACAAGTCGTTATTTGGCTTGTGCCCTGAGTTCATCACTTACGGCTACACAAAACCTGTTCATTTACCTCTGTGTGCCAGAGAAATATTAACATTTTTTAAAAAGATTTTATTTATTTATTTGACAGAGACACAGCGAGAGAGGGAACACAAGCAGGGGGAGTAGGAGAGGGAGAAGCAGGCTTCTCGAAGAGTAGGGAGCTGATGCGGGGCTTGATCCCAGGACCCTGGGATCATGACCTGAGCTGAAGGCAGATGCTTAACAACGGAGCCACCCAGGTGCCCCGAAATATTAACATTTTTAATACAGTGCTATAACAAAAAAAGTTGGAGAAGTACTGCATGAAATTATACTCTATAGCATTTTTTCCCTAAAGAAGTTATTTTAACTTCCAGAATATTTTATACATACACAAAAGTAGAGTAGTATAATGAAATATCTTATCACTCAGCTTTTGGAATTGTTGACATGTCCAGTCTTGTTTCATTTATCCACTCCCACCACCCCCAGCACACATCATACTGATGGTTTATTTTAAAGCATATTATTTTGTATTCTGTCAATTCTTGATGTGCATAATGAAGAGAGAAATGCTGTCAGACCCAACAGCTGTCTTTTGGAAAAGCTAACTGCAGAGGTGTGAGGGCTAAGTTGGAGAAGCAAGAGCGTGATGGTAGGCAAACTCATTTTGTGGTTGTCCAATCCAGAAATAATGGGAGCCCCAACTTCATAGAGGAAACTTCAAAGAGAAACCCAAGAGTTCTGCAAAGAGACATTATGAGATAGATACCAACAGCCGAGAGTTGGAGTTAGAACTCTAACAGCTGATGGGGTAGGGGTGATGAAGAAAAGGTCAGTTAGGATTTCTGACTTAGGCCCAGCTTCTGGGAAGTTCATGTATTCAAAGAGATCGCATGCCCTGGAGAAGTTTGGAGGCAGTGAAATACTTTGATTTTAGACATGAATTTGAAGAGCTGCTGTACATCCGCAGGAAATATTCAATAAATACTTGGTAGTTTGGGCCTGAAACTCCTAAAAAGAGTTCAGAACTGATGACTAAGGAAGCAAAATCTCTCTTCTTGAACAAAAACTAAAAGAATGATAAAGGGAGTGAGGCAAGGTAGAGTCTGACAAGGGCTGGCTAGAGCCTAAGAAATTTTTGACTCGGTATTTATAAGTTTTTCTTTATTTCTCCTTTTCTTCCTCCCTCCCTCCCTTTTTCTTCCTTTCCTTTCCTTTTTTTTTTTCTTTTCTTTCATGGAAGAAGTGCTTGGGGAGCTTATTAGAATCCTAATATTTGACTCCTCAAGAGGTGCAGATTTGGGGATGAGAAAGGAGTAGAAATTATGCAGTTATCACCATGTCAGTTTGATATGGGTAGTTTTTAGCTGACACTTTGCAAAGCATTGACTTATATTAGTATGAAAATGCAGAATGAAAAAGGAAGTTGTGATTGTTATTAAGCTGGTGACTTGAACATTTTTACTTTTCTGTGCTGAAAATAGTTTAAAGGTGTACCAATTTGTACTTGAAGTAGAAGCATATACCCCAAAGGTTGGGGCAAGGCATCTGTTGTCAACTACCTGGATTCACATTTTGGCTTTACTGCTTATTAGCTGTGTTTGAGCATGTTACTTGAAATCTCTCCGAGTGAGTTGCTCTAAAATATGGATACTTTTCAAGTAAGGGGCCTAACTAGAGCTGTTTTGAGATTGAAGCGAGAAGTTATGTAAAGACATTCAGCGTGCTCTCTGACACATAATAAATGCTCAGTAAATTTTAACTGTTATTCCTTCTACTCAGTGGTTGTATTTTCCAGGTTTTTTAAAGAATGAAATAGATATCATATGACTGGGGCCAACATAGGACAAATTCAGATTGTAATGGTAAAGTTTTAATTTGTTCAAAATTGGGTAATTTTTTAATACTTGCTTTATGTGAACAACTGATAGGTGTCTGTTACAATGGTGAGCTGCTAATAACATTTTTTCCCCAGGTGTGTGTTAAAAGAATTAGAAACATTGGGAAAAGACTTATATGGGGCAAAACTGATTGCACAAAAATGCCAAGTCCGAAATTGTCCCCATTTCAAGAACGCTGTGAGTGGATCAGAATGTCTACTGACCATGGTTGAAGAGGGAAATCCTCATCACTATTTTGTGGCAACACAGGTGATACTGCTTTTAAAACCAGAGTCAATTTTAATCTTTTAATCATTTCTATCTATATTTCTTTTCTTTTCTTTTTTTAACCTTTCTATCTATATTTCATTTGGAGCTACATATAATCAGGAAAACTTAGGTGGAAGTGCATTGTCAAAATGTTTTGACTGTTTAAAATGAAGGCTTTTAAGTTAATTTGCAGTCGATAAAAGCAGTTGTCATTGGAGAATTTGAGGAAAGAACCTTAAGCTTTTGATTTTTCTTAAGTTTTTTTAAAAATAAAATTATTGACAAAGAGATGTGATTGTATGTTTCAGCGTTCTTAAAGGGAAAATAAGTAGAGCAAAAATTTTATATTCTGTATTCATCAGTGTTTTCTTGTGTTCCTGTATTTCATATTTTTTCTCAAAAAGTCTTGTTTCATATTATTTGAAATTGTGCTACCAATAAGGAACTGTTTTACACTTTTAAAGATCCGGGGCAGAGGAGTGGTGTGGTAGGAGAGACTTTCAGCGTTGATATTATCCAATAAGTGCATGTACATACAGATTTGCTTAAATACGCTTTTAGAATTATAAAATCACACAGTTAGATGCAGAGCTAGTTCTAGAATCTGAGTCAGCCAATTCTTACGTTGTTGCTATTCCTGCAACCAGTGTTAAAATTCCTAACCCTTTTTGAAGATATGGAACATTGCCTAACATACTTACCTTTGCCTTAGTTTGTAATTTGTGGTCCTAGAATATTGGTAAGTCTGGTTCACCTTAGTTGGCATTTAACTGTGCTCAGATTTCATATCTGTCTTTTTCTTCTTCTTCTTTTTTTTTTTTTCTTTTAGGTCATAAAGTGTATTCCCGTTAGTGAGACATACTGACTTGAAAAGTAAAACTTAGCGATCTCTTTTATTTTTACTATTTAAGGCATTTTATTTGACTGGCATATTTGAACTGAACAATTCTATTTTTCCCTTTAATAGGATCAGAATTTGTCTATGAAAGTAAAGAAAAAGCCTGGAGTTCCTCTCATGTTTATTATTCAGAACACTATAGTCTTGGACAAACCTTCTCCCAAAACAGTTGCCTTTGTTAAAGCAGTAGAGTCAGGTCAGCTTGTCTCAGTGCACGAGAAACAAAGTATCAAGCAACTCAAAGAAGAACAAGGTTTAGTGAAAAAAGAGGAACAGAGAAGAAGAAAAAAACGCAAGAAAATAAGTGGCCCCAATCCTCTGAGCTGTTTGAAGAAAAAAAAAAAAAACACAGGACCCAGAATCATCTGCCTCTGAAAAGAAAAGAAAAAGAAAAAGAATCCGGAACAGATCTACCTCAAAAGTACTTTCTGAAAAGCAGAACGATAATGAATGAATTCTTTGAGTACTTTTAAAGACATTAAAATGTGAAAAACAAATTTCTTTTTAAAACTATGGAAGTACTAACAGTAAAAGACTGTGATTTTTATAAATATTGACCCATAAGCCTTTGCCTAAAATTTGTTAAAGAAAGGAAAGGAAACAAAAGAAAAACACACCAGTGTGGATGGGTTTAGGCATTTTTTTTAAAGATTTTATTTATTCATTTGACAGAGAGAAATCACAAGTAGGCAGAGCAGCAGATAGGGGTGGCCGGGGGGGAAACAGGCTCCCCAATGAGCAGAGAGCCTGATGCAGGGCTTAATCCCAGGACCCTGAGATCATGACCTGAGCCAAAGGCAGAGGCTTAACCCACTGAGCCACCCAGGTGCCCCTGGAGATTATTTTTTGATGTGTAAAACTGTTGTCTCGTTTCTGTCTCACCATTGCCCCTATACCCCAACATTATATGCAGATAGTGTCAAAAATCAGTCATACAGAAGCTTTGTGACCAGAGGTTGTGTCCTTTCACATTCGTGAGGAAAATTCCTTATTCATGTAGCAGTTGTAGAATTTATAGTTCTAAATAATGTGAATATACTGCTACCTTTTGGTTCATCAATTATTTGACTTTGTACTAGAAAGTGGAAATTTTGCTTACTTGTATCACTCCTCCATTTTTCTGATCTATTAATAGTTCAGTCTTTATATATCCCAAATAAAGTATTTTCATTATTATGACTGTAAACTTTGTTCCCCATTGACCCAAGTAGCCATGACATGATTGAATTTATTTCTTACACTAATTTGTTGTTATTCCAGAAGTCAATACTGTCCTCATTTTCTTGAAGCATCTGACTTAACTCTGTAAAGGAACTTATAATTTTCTATATGATGATATGTGGTAATTCCTCAACCCTGAAGATGCTTCTAAAATCCTCTGTCCTCCAGTGTGGAACAGTTTTCTGCTGGGTATGTTGCTCAGGTGTCAACCATGCACTTCTTGCCCTTATCCAGAAATTTGCTTTTGTTATTTCTGTTTCCTAGATTCATTGTTTTACTCTTTTTTGGTTTTCTCTTTTGCTGTAGTGAAGCATGGATTTTGTAGGAAGTAACATTTTTTGAGGCTCAGCCAGTGTTGTTTACCCTCATATTTGTTGCACTAATAATTTAGCAAGATAGTTCCTTGTTAAAAAATTTTTAAGTAATCTCTACACCCAACATGGGACTCGAACTCACAACCCTGAGATCAAGAGTTGCAAACTCTACCAACTGAGGCAGCCAAGCTCCCCTAGCAAGATAATTCTTGATTGAAGATCATGTCACTCAGTTCCCCTAGAGAGTCTCTTAATTTTTTTTAGTTCCATTCGTCCACTAAGGAGGACGATTTTCTTTAAAAGCAAATGTTAAATTCAATAGCAAAAATTCCAAAATAACAGTCTCTTTAAGATTGGCTATGAATGTTACTTAAAAGGTGTTTAAGGGTTACCAGAATTTAACAGATTATGTAGTAAATATATTTTTAAATTTTTAATAAAATGTCTAAAGAGCCGATTTTATTAGGAAATGAATAATCAAATTTGTTTTTCAGCCGTCTCCCCAATTGTTTGAGTTATTCTTCAATTCAAAATTACAATGTTTCTCTGCTGTAATATTCAAGTATAAAATTGGAAAACTGGAATCTGACTTTGTGCTACCTGTGACACCTTTGACTAGTGGTTTAGAATCTTTATCATTAGGGTTTCACGATCAGGTATGAAGTACATCATGAACAAATTCTTGTAATGGCTAAAATAATCTTTCTTAAATTTGAGTCCACTTACATTTTTACAGAAACATTTTCAGTTGAATTCAAGAGAAGCTTTTTTGGGTGGAAACTGAAGTTACCTCCTTAAGGACACTAGGAATCACACAGGTTGTATTACCTAGCAAGCCAGGTTAGTGCTTTGATATTTCATGATTCTGTTTTAAATTCCTAACAGGAACATTTCTTTTTTAAAGTAATGTGTACTTTTTTTTTTTTTTTTTAAGATTTTTTTGTATTTATTTGACAGAGCACAAGTAGGCAGAGCAACCGGCAGAGGGAGAGGGAAAAGCGGGCTCCTTGCTGAGCAGAGAGCCCGATGTGGGGCTGGATCCCAGGACCCTGAGATCATGACCTGAGCCGGAGGCATAAGTTTAACCAACTGAGCCACCCAGGTGCCCCTGAACAGGAACATTTTTTAAAAGGAAGGCAAAGACACTGGGAAAAAGTGAATATAGCTCTATAGTTTCTGTGAGGAAAAAAAAAATTGTCAAGAATGATGAGAGTTAGGGGGGTACCTGGATGGATCAGTTGGTTAAGTGTCTACCTTCAGCTCAGGTCATGATCTCAGGGTCCCTGAATTGAGGTCTGCATCAGGGCTCCCTGCTCTGTGCAGAGTCCGCTTCTCCCCATCCCTGTGCACCGCTGCCCACCACCGCCCCGCACTTGCATGCTCTCTCATAAATAATAAAATCTTCAAGAAAAAGAATGGTGAGAGGATTACCAAATCAAATGTAGACAAAGTGATAAAGCAGGTGAAATGTACACTGAGGATATTTTCAATATACTAAAATGAATAAATTTTTAGGTATTTCTCTTTAACAAGGCTTATTGTGATTGATAATAAGTACATATATGTTTGGGTTTTGTTCATGGTTCTTGGCTCACAGCTCCCAAAACTGTTGGAATTTCCCAAGTGATGAGAGCTTAAAGGTGTCTCTTATGTTAGTAAGCTGGTTTTGAAAAATACTGAGGGATGATAGCTGGTTACCTTTGGAGCCAATCGTGGATTAGAGGGTTGGAACTTTCTGTCCCCACCCCACCCAACCTCTGCATTGAGGGTGAGGGGCAGGAATTAATCAATCACGCTTATGTAATGAAGCCTCTCTAAAACCCTACAGGGGTTAGGGTTTGGAGAGCTTCCACGTTAATAAGTGGAGATTGGGGAGAGTGACCCACCTGGAGAGGGCTTGGAAGCTCCTGCCCTTTCCCCATACCTCGCCCTATGCATCTCTTCCATGAGGCTGTTCTGAGTTATATCCTTTGGTAATGAACATGTAATGTAGTAAGTAAAATGTTTCTCTGAGTTCGTGAGCCACTCTAGGAAATTAATTTAGTGGAGAAGAGTGTTGTGAGACCTTCTGATTTCTAGCCAGAGGTCAGAAGCACAAGTAACAGCCCGTAGGAGTCTGAAATGTGTGGGAGGGGTAGGGGGGTGGGGAGGTGGCAGTTCTTGAAAGACTGAACCCTTAACCTGTGGAATCTAATACTATCTGCAGGTAGATTTTGTCAGACTTGAGTTGAATTGTTAAATGTTCAGCAGGGCACTGCTTGTATGTGTAAGAACTAAACCCGCAATACACATTGAAATTGGGTCCAGAAAACTTAAATATTTATATTTATTCAGTGCTATCTGGTCACCTATTAATAATATCTGAACTGGAGAGCTAGAAAAGTCAACTTATTTTTATAAAATAGTAATTTTTAAGTTAAAATATTAAAAATACAATGTATTACAATAATATTTAATAATTTAAAACTGATTCATCAGATATATAAATTTATATATTTATAAATTACTTTTAAAATGTTTTAACAGAAGAATCTCATATCTTTGTACAATTCTTTTGTGAATAGTGTCCTCCTAACACCACCCCGGAAATCCTTAGTGCTTCTTGCTTTATTTTTCTCTGTACAACTTAGGAAAGGGGGCATGCACCATAGGAGTGTACACATGTGATCATAATCCATTTTGCAGTTTGGCAAAAAGAAAATGTTGAGAACCTCTGCTTTAGAGGGTAGCTACTAGCCTTGTTGGGGATGAAAGTGGAGTACATGTGCTTTTGAACTCTGAAGTTTGCCAGACTAAAAAGTAGTGTTTCTGAAAACCACTGTTTTTTATGAACACTTCAAAAAAGTATTTGTAGTTGAGTTTGGGCAGGATTCTGTATTCCCTACATTTTCGAAGCCCTACAGCCATTTCTCATCCCCACAGGTATGTAAATTAAAATGAAGCCACTTCAGAGCATCTGAGTTTCACAAGTAAGATTTCTTGTTTTCTATTTATGCATGGAGTTAAGAGACAGTATTTTATGTCTCTGCACCTGCTAAAGCAAGTTGTCTGTGATTTGACAGGTTTAATTAATAGATTTTCATGGGTAGATAGGATGAATAGTTCCTATTCTTTAAAATCGTTTAAAAATACGTCATTGTACTACAGCTTTTCTTAAGAGTTCTTAGTTTAGATGTAAATGAAAAAAATATAATAACTTAGTATAATTCTATCTGTCTATATGTTTTGAACTAACTAGGAATAAGGGAAAAAGAAGTGTCTGGACTGAGCTTAGAAACTGATTTCTCATATGATCCTAGATTGGTGGCCTCTGAATATTTAATCATACATCCTTGTCAGTGAAAGAACTTCTGCGTATACCTATAAATGTATGCTTATAAAATACATACGTTCACTACTATACATTATAAAATACACATAGAAAAAAAACAAAATATAAAGGATGGTGAAGATATTTTAAAATATTTGCCATTACATGGCTTCATTAAGCTAATATTTCAAGACATAAGTTTTATCAGTAATATTAGATATGAATCCACTTGAAGTACTTTTTACAATTACATTTTTTTGTGAAATCTGACTAGATCATTGGTTTTCCTTCATAATATTTGTGAGAGTGTACTACGCAAAAAAAAAAAAAAAGTATAATAAGAGTATTAAGAGTATGTACTAAGAGTGTACTAAGAGTAGGATGTGTCAATACATATTTGTCAAATATGTGAAAATAAAATCACATCTATCAGGAGGATAGCTATAGCCTCTCATTCAGTTTCCAGATCTAAATGAGTTCAGAGGCCCAGAGCCCTTCAATTTAAGGGAACGCTGGGTTCTTTTGAGTAGAGACCTTGCAGCACTGCTATCGCTTTCCCTGTGGCCATTTTCTAGAGTGAATGTGTACTGG